ATGATCAGAAATTTTACAAAAACCGATGTAAAAACTTATATATATATATATATATATACTGAGGTCCAAAAGTTCTTAAATTTAAAAAAAAAAAAACATTATTTTATCCATATACCGATTTTCCAAGACTGTGGTGTGTCTTCAGATTAAACAGTTTCACTTTTACTTACATGCATTTAATTGCTCAGCATCAGCTTGTTTAACAATAGCAGGTAATGGTACTTTTGGAGTTCCTTTTTGTGTCTATAGGAGGAACATAAAAAGTTTAATTGGAAGCTTTTAATTTAAGTACAACATAAATATATTTGCAGAATTAATTTCAAAAGCACAAGTTTAATACAACATTCAGTCATTATTCTGCTTCATTCATGGAGACAAATAATAATACAATATGACTGAATACACAATATACCAAAGGTAATTATAAAATACCAAAATTTATAGCCGCGATGGTTCAGGGGATAGAGTGTTCGCCTTCCAATGAGGCGAACCGAGTTCGAATTCTAGTCGATACGAATTCCACATCCGGCATGCACCGACCACAGTGCTGACGTGAAATATCCTCAGTAGTAGACGGATCAGGAGTTAGAGTCCCCTTACCATCAGGCTAACTGTGGTAGGTTTTCGTGGTCTCCCTCTCCCTGTAACGCAAATGTGGGTTAGCTCCATAAAATAGTCTTCCACGATTGCAAATTTCTCCCAATACTTGATCCAGGAGTACCCTTGTCTTTTGGATTGGGTTCAAAATTACAAGGCTACAAAGTTGAACATTAGTAGTCGTAAACCCATAAAATTGGGTCGGCTGTTCAATGGCGGTTATAAAAAGAACATGTGTTACGCCATTTTTTATTAAAAATGAATAATTACACATTTAAAAAAAAAAAATAATAATAATATTTATTGGTATGCAATCATTTGAAATTCTCAATTTCTATTGAAAAACAAACTTTTTGGACAATATGGGTCAAAATTGTTTTCTCAACCATTATCCTAAAAGTATGAGTGAAAATTTGTAGTAAGGCAGTAAATAATTACAACACTATCTATCCAAATGATCAAGGTAGTAAGACATAATGTAAGAAGGCAGAGGAAGGTTTTTTACATCATAAATTTTTAAAAATACGGATTAAAAAAATTCCAAAATTTATTTAATATATATGCATAAATTTAAAATTTTTTTTTGTCAAACTATAAAACTTACTCATTTTGAAAATGGAAAAAAAAAAGAAAAATTAAACAATTACAATACATAAATGAAAGAAATAAGTACCTAAACTAAAGCATAATTTACAATAAAATTAGTAAAACAATTTGAAAGGTTTGCATTAAAACTATTTTACAACTGTGAAATGATATAGCAGATCTCAGCCACATATTCCTAATGAGTAATAAGAAAAAATAAATTTTAAAAGTTAATTGACAATCGTTTTTATTTTTTTACATTTAATCCATAAACATTCCTAAGAAAACAAGCTGGAAAAACAATAAAAAAATTTTAACAACAAAGCCAAATTTTTCATGAGGCAAATTTTAAATAAGAAAAAATTGGTGAAGGAAGTGTAAAGGAATACATCACGACATTTTATTAACTACCAATAGAAGATAATAATACTGACCTTAACAGCAGGGCCTGATGGAGTCCTAGGCACATTGCTAACAACAGTCTAAAAATATTATAAAACATTAAATGAGAAAATAAAATTAGTTTTAATACACAAAATGAAATTAGTTCTGAATCAAAGAAAAACAGCATTATGTACATAGTAAAATTATATATAATATTAAAAGAAATAAAAAAATACAACTCAAGAAACACAAGAATTTAGTTTTTCTTACAAGCAAATAAAAAGATATATCTATATTTAAAGGGTTTTTTAAACCCTTTAATCAAATAAAATAAGGATTTGATTTGATAAATTTAGTTCATACCTGAAGTAGTTTAAACGAGCAAAACCTATAATTTACAAAGTTTCAATGTTTTTTTACAAGGTTTCAAAGTTTTCCTTTGTTTCGAAAAGTTTTATGGTTATTTTTTGAATAAACTGTGAAAAAAGCCCATATTTTAAGGATTCAGAATACAAATCTGTCACAAAAAATTAATATTTATTCAAAGAAAGTAAGTTATTGAATCCAATTTCACAACTTAAAATATTTTCTACTCAAATTAATTAGTATGCTTTTGTCAATCCGTCAAACAAATAAGATTTAATTTACATTTTAGTATATGATAATCCGATCAATAGATAAAAAATAATTGAGATGTTCAATGTTTCTACTTTGCGTATGGTATATATTTTTTATTAACTATTTGGATAAATAAAATTTTAACCAAACCTGATAGTTTGAGACATTTCCAATTATTCCAGAAGTAGAAGTAGGCTGAAATATTTAAATTAATTTTATGTAGGAAAAAGATTGAATTTGTGCATATTGACTGAACTAAATATTTATATACTTGTCCAAAGTACCATATCCACTACCAAATTTTAACTTTTAACAATATTCACTACCAAAATTTAACTTTTAACAAACAGTAATGAATAAAAATTTCCCAGATATGCACGAACATTAAATTACATGTATCGGAAATACCTTATGAAGCCACTAAGTACATTGAAACAGAAATTTTCAAGTTTTTGAGAAGCCTATTAAAAAGCTGATTGTTGGTGCAACTAGCACATTATTTATCTTCATGTGCATAAGAAATAAATCTTTAAATTCATGAAGCAAATTTAAATTTAATCTGTTAATTAATCTTTTAAGAAATGTGAGATAGTAACTAAACAAAATACCTAGTCATTTATATTAACAGTATAATTTTCAATTTAATTTTTTGATAAGTTTTAGTAAGATTCTGGTCTGATTAAGATTTTTATAATGAATTTCAGAGACTGGAATGTTACATATCACACATAATTTTTTTTAATTGATAATTTACAATCTAAATATCATATTTTTGATCTTAATTAAAATTTGTTCAATACTTGTACCTTAAAAAATGAAAATTTACTTTTTTACACCACAAAAAAAATAAGTAAAAATAAATAAAGGAAACTTTAAACCCATTTTTGAAGACTTAAATTTCACTTTGACTAAAAAGTTTATTTTTTAAAGTAAACATATTGTTTATCATCCTAAAATTTTGTAATTCCAAAAAAAATAATTAAATAAATAAAAATTGGAAAATTGCAACACCATCATTAGATTTTTATATATAGTTAGATAACATGCAGGAAGTATTTTGTATATTATAACTATATATTAATACTATAAGTAGTATTTTGTATACTAACCTGGGAAACAAAGGTGCCTAATGGAGTCCTATGCATATTTAGTGAAGAAGACTAAAAGATAATTTTAATTAAAACAAAATTGTAGTTCTATAAAAAAAATTGATGATTTTATTGTGATAACAGTAATGGCCTTTCAAGTACAGGGTGTTTATAAAGTCCCGGACTCATTTTGATGTTTAATAACTGATAAAATAATAAAGATAGATTGAAATTACTAACATAAATCGTTAGATAGACTAAAAAAGGTTCATAACCCTTGTCAATGAAATTCCACGTGTGCCCCCTTCGTTGCACGGAGAATATCAAGTCGATAGTCAATTTCACGCTAGGCAGCGGCAAGCATGTCGGCATCCACAGAGGTTATTGCGGTTGTAATTCTGGCTTTTAGGTCATCAATGTTCGACACAATCCTCCTGTAAACATTGTCCTTTATAAATCCCCAAAGAAAAACGTCCAGCGGCCTTATATCAGGTGATCTGAGTGGCCAAGGAATTGGACCTCCATTCAAAGAACTACGAACGATGATACCCACATATACCTTCGTATTCGATGATACTTCGTATTTCCACAACTAGAAGAGCTTCAGCCACATGTCTTTTTGCAACAAGATGGAGCACCACCTCATTGGGGTATCATCGTTTGTAGTTTTTTGAATGACCATTTTCCAGGAAGATGGATTGATCGAGGAGGTCTAATTCCTTGGCCACTAAGATCACGTGATATAAGGCCGCTGGACTTTTTTCTTTGGGAATTTATAAAGGACAATGTTTACAGGAGAATCGTGCTGAATATTGATGACCTAAAAGCCAGAATTACAACCACAATAGCTTCTGTGGATGCCGACATGCTTGCTGCTACCTGGTGTGAAATTGACTATCGACTTGATATTCTCCGTGCGACGAAGGGGGCACACGTGGAAGTTCATTGACAAGGGTCATGAAACTTTTTGAGTCTATCTAACCATTTATGTTATTAATTTTAACCTATCTTTATTATTTTATGAGTTATTAAACATCAAAATGGGTCCGGGACTTTATAAACACCCTGTATAAAAGGCTACTAGTCTAGCAGCTTTCAAATCATATATGAAGCATATATACCACGATTGACACAATTCTTAAGCAAAATATTTAGGATATTTAATGATTTAGTAAAAAAAAACTTATCATTCAAAGTTTTCAAAATTTACTAACATTCTATAAAAAATTTGTTTAGATTAAATTTATTTTGACATTAAAGAAAGAAGGAAAAAATAGAACTGATAATTTGGCAAAGAAAAAATTTAAATGTAAACAATTTATTAATGATTAATTATATATTTTTAATTCTTTTAATTTATTGCTATGATCAAACTCCGTGAATATGTTTGTAATTGAATCTTGGACAAATCTAAGTAATATAAGCATTATATATTTTGAAAAAGACAAATTGATATAAATTTTATGTTGTTTCCCTTTAATTTGAGTTCTATTAACTATTTTCTGTACCAAAACTTTCTATAATGGTACATAAATAATGGCAATTAAATTTTTTCACGTTCAGCTATTTTAAACATTTAATTTAAATATCAGGACTAAAAAGCAATAGAAATATTTCTAACAGGCAGAAGAAATTTATTTGAATTGACCTAAGACTTGAATAAATTTTACGGAAATAGAATCAACATATTTTTAATTCTTTAATATTTTATTTATATAGCTTACACTGATAATCAGCAAAGTCATTTGGACATTCTATTAATTATGTTTTAGCAAGCACCTGACTTTTAGCATGTAAAGCCAAATTATATTAATTTTAATTTATTAATCTATATATATTAATATATATTAATCTATTATAATACAGTAAAAGATTCATAAAATGCAATTCTTTAAATGACATAAACCACATTTGGTGTTCCACATTGATCAGTTCCAGAGGAAATTTGCTGCCATGTTTTTAAGATAAGTTTAACTCCTTGAGTGTTAGTCCCGACTTTTTTCCAAACTTTTAGACGCAAGTTCCCTGTAGCAAAAAACTGGTTTCCCCCATGTAATTTAATGGGAAAGCGGTGCACAGCAAGGAAATTTTTTTACAATTTTATTCAGAGGCTCAACACAGAGGGTTAATGATATGTGCAATGATTTAAATAAAAATTCTATAAAATACAAAATTCTATAAAATGGTCTTGTGTTTCAAGGTTTGCATTATAAAAATCTTTAACTATAAACAATTTTAAATTCAAATACTTAATGCATATATCTGAACATTAGAACAACTTAAATAGTATAATCAGGATAGGATATGGAATTAAAAGCTGTAAAATTAGTAATCGATAAATTGGATCAATAGATAAATAAGTTATTCAATAAATGAAGATTTGGTTACACTAACCTGTGGTAAAAGAACATTTTTCTGTAGGGTAGTTTGTCTCTGCTGAGTCAATGCCATAGCTCGTTTCAGCGCCTACAAAAAATTTCAGTTAATAACTTGATAAAAGATTTAAAAAAATTTTACATCTATAAAAAAATTATCTTAGTCAAAAATTAAAAAATAAGTAATAAAATTAAAAAATAAACAAGCCTGTTATACCTGTTTTATACGAATAAAACAGGCATAATAAATTCATGTTAAAAAGAATTCTATAGAGAATTCTATTCATTAGAAAAGAATTCTATAAGAAAATATATACAGTGATTTGTTAAAAAAACCAGTAGCTAAAAGATAATGTAAGTCCGCACACATTTTCACCTCATTTAAGTTATTAAAGTAAATTCAGATTTTTTTTAAAAAATTACAATACAAAGAAGTATAATGTTAATAATTAGGTTATGGTGAAATATTTCACTTTCCTACAAACAATTTGTCTTTAAACACTAAAATTGATATTAAAACACTGGTTAGCTTTTCTTTCAAAATTATAAGTCAATAGTACAGGAAATAATATAAAAATATCTTTTATTTTTAAAAGGCAGCCAAAACAAGTACTTAGATCAAACACAAATTGAGCCATTTCCCTAATTTCTTTGGTAATTTAATAACATGGTCTGACCATTCCCTGATTTGATTGGAAAACAAATTCCAAATTTTCTGTGACCTTGATTCTTTACCTATGAATTTTTGCAGTGAAGCAATAACTGAAAACTACAAATAGTTCTTTTTACATTTTCAACAGAACAATATAAAAATAAAGAAAAGTTCAGGTAAGTTCCCCATTGAAAAGAAGTATATTTCTACACAGCAGAATGGAAAAAAAAGCGCAAGAAATATTTTTTTTTTTTATTTTAAAAACCACTAGTTGAGGTTTAATGTTAAAGAATATTTAAAAATTAATTTTAAAAAAAATATTCTAATTCAAAAAATTTCCAATCAATGTAAGTACAATCATTGATAATCAATGTAACAAGTAATGAACAAACTATTCAATGTCAAATCTGATATTTTCACTCGGAATTTGAAATGATTTTAAATTTTAAAGTAAATCAATCTATTTAAAACTTACCAATTCATCATTTAATCTCTTCTCTCTATCTCTGATTCGTTGTTCTCTTTTAATGTCTGCTTCCTGAAAAAATAATAATAAAATTTAAAACAAACTGGAAACCAAAATAAAATAATTTCTAGCGATTAGTACAAAAAAGTGAAGATAAAGAATTGTGAAATTCATTCTAAATGCAAAATACAAAAAGTTTAAAAGATTACATATTTTAAAATATGTTTCAAAATAAATCAGAAAACCAAACCAAAGTTCCATATTTTTAACAATAATTTTTGAAAAATGTTGTACAAAGTACATGATTTACTGATTATAATCACTTCTATTCAGGAATCTGAAATTAATGTCTAAAACTTATTAATCCTAGGTATTTGAAAACAAAAATTGATTCATTAGATTTTAAAATCAACAATTTCCTGAAAAGACAAAGTAGGGCAAATAAATTGCTTTACAAATTTTAATGTGTTGTTATTTCGACTGAATTATTTGATTTTAATTCCTAATATTTAGAAATCAATCTCCTTTTGGAAAAGGGATAATTAAGCCCTTTTTAGATACACCCAATGAAAAAAGCACCTTTAAGGGCTTTTAAAAAACGAAAATAAGCACCTTTAAGCACTTTTTAAAAACGCTACGCACCCTGTTACATTCGGCATCTTTTCCACAATATAGTATTTTCAAAATAAAAGCTTCAGTTTTTTTGGTTCTCCCTACTGTCAAAAACTTTTTAAAATTAAACTATGAAATTTTATTATTTTTTTTACAGAGTAAAGAATGCTTAGTTTTTATTTTCTAAGAAACACTGGTCAAATGATTTAGTTACCTAAAGGTTACAAATCCATGACATGGAGTTAGTATGATGTATAATATCTTACATTTCTGAAGCTCAGAGTATATATTAATAGAGATCAAATTAAGAAATAATATTTTACTTACCAGACGCCTAACTTCAGCTTCACTCATTAAAACTTTCCTATTTGCTTTATTAGCCGGTGGCTAAAATTAAAGAAAAAATATTGTAAAATAACAAAACAGGGACTATAACCAAATTTATCAACAAAAAAAATAAGAACCTTTCAAGCATTCAAAATATTTTTAAGCATTTATTTTTTAAAAAAAATAATAAATAAGGATGTGCGCACCAATGAAGAATTTTTATCTTCCTATTATTGAGTTCCTAAGTTCTTCAGGCATATNAAAAAAAAAAAAAAAAAAAAAAAAAAAAAAAAAAAAAAAAAAAAAACAGACCACCCTGAATAACTTTTGATCTAAAGATCGGATTTTCACATTCTAGGACATCTTAATGGCTCGAGGGCCTGACCTCAAATTGCTAATTAATAAGAGCAGAAGATAATTTAAGATACGAAATCAGTCACAAAATCATACTTTCTTCGTATAATCATACCTTTTTTCAATGGATTTGGATTTCTGACCCCCAAAATATTGCTGCAATCAGGGAAATATGGTCCCAATAGTTTGGTCGGGAGAGCACTCCAAAACTTGGCCTCCTTAATGTTAATTTTACTTTTGCATATTTCCCAATATCTCGAGACCTTTTTAGGTGAATTGAACAATTTTTTGACACAGTTATAAAATTTGTTTATCCAAAGATAATTCCATGTAAAAAATAGCTTTTAGGAAATGTTTATTATTTTATTTAATAATAGTCGAAAGGATTTTGAATAGTAATGTATACAATTTCCTGCATCATTTTAAAGAATATAATTTTACAAGGCAAAATACAAATTTTGAGCAAAATTGGTTGATTAGTTCCTGAGAAATTGAATTTAAAAACTGTATACCTTGCAAATAAAAAAAATTTCGACTATTATTTAATAAAATAATAAAAAATAATCAATATTTACTAAAATTTATATATATTTCATATAATCATTGTAGATGTCACAAGGGTTTGGTTCAAGATGACATAAAGATACCTTTTACATAACTAGTATCTTCGCTTATATTTTTATTGTTTAGTTCTTACGCAAAAAAAAACTTATGTTCGAAAATCGAAATTCGAACATTATAATAATATCATATTGAAAATTGGAAAACCATGTTACAGGAGCCGAAAAATTGAAAAGTAACTGCTGATAAACTATCTCAACTAACGCTGTTAAATTATAATGGAATGTCACAAATCGAACACTTCGAAAAAAGTGATGGCTCAAATTCGAAATTCTCATTAAATATATAGGAATCAATTTGAAAAACCATAAGGAAGGGGCCGAAAATTGACACATGGACTTAAAAAAATGAATAAAAAATAGTTACTAATAAAACTAAATGTTCTTTATCGATTAAGAAATTTTCGGAAAAATAATTTCTATATTTCACAAAAATGGTCCCCAAAAATAAAACTTAGATCAACCCTAAAATATTATAGTACAGCATTATACTTTTCAAATGGAGCAACTGCGATGCTTCCACAAGTTCTTAATAGTGAATTTAATTGCATTCATTTTTCAAACCTTGGCGATAGAGGATTAAGAAAATTAACAATAAAAAACATTAATAATTTATACGAGATAATAAAACAATATTTATCCCAATAAATAATTTTATAAAAAATAAGAATAGACAATCTGAAGTATATCCATCATTCTACATGTTATGGATTCTAACAACCATAAAGGCTTTTCTAATAGAAAGTNCATAAATTGTATGAAATTATTTTTGATACCCAATAATTATTACATCATTAAAATTTATACAATATCAATTACTACAATAAAAAACATATATAAACAATTGGATGGAAAAAAATTGGCAAACCTTCCATTAATTCAACTTCAATTTCAGAAGAGCCACCCGGTGCTGCTAAGAATTTCATTAATTTATTTATGACAGTTTGTTGATCGTCACCAGCATGATCGATACAAAGTAAAGTTGAATACTCTTTTAGAGTGCTTAGTGAGAGCCTGTAAATAACAATCGTTTATAATTAATTGTTTTTCAATTGATTAAAATGAGCTTTAATGAAAACAAACAGGTATAATATTATAAACCAGCCAAAAATACATCATAGGGACTCTTAATTAGAAAACCAATTCAATTTTTAATGAGGAATTAATTCATTTGTCATTAAAAAAATAATAAAATTATTTAAAGCAGAACTCCTAAAAAATAAAATAAAAACTTAAAAATATATTCTGTACAGTATGCAAAAAAAATCCTGCACACAGTGAGTGCTTGTTTTCATTTGCCTTACTAATTTTTTAGTTTTATTCTATTGCTTTCATAAATTAAAATATAATTGTATATATGTTTGCCATTTATTTTCTTCATCATCCCAAACTGGTTAAAAAAATTTGCAGTTCATGAAACAAAAATACAAATCAAGGATTACAACAACTAATACAATAAAACTTACAATGATAATAAAAATTCCTTCTGTTTCCAATCATCAGAACCTTCAAGAAAAGGAAAACCTCCAAAGGCTAAAATATTTGCTTTCAAATTTTCTGGCTAAAATAAGTATTTTTATTTTATTAAAAAACAGAAAAAAAGGCTAAAAATAATTAATATTTAAGTTAATAAAACCAATGATGTACACTAAGTATTATTCATTCAAAGAAATATCAGAGTTTAACATCTAATATTAATATAGCTTACAGCTTTCATAACAAAAATTTGATTCTATGTTTTTATGAATACTAATATCAATATTGATTTAATGAATCAAAATTTCAAATAAATAAATAAACCAACAAATAAATTTAAAAAAAGAGCATGAGAATATTAAACTAAAACAAGCAAGATCAAACATTTTGGTTTTTTTTTTTTTTTTTTTTTCTTAACCATTTCTTCAAGGAACAATCATTCCTTAAGATCCACACACAAATAAATCAGATATTATACAAGACTAGAAAAAAATTATTTGTTTTCCTATTTCTTTTGAACTTTCTTAATTAGAAATTTATCTTAAATTTTTTTTTTTATTCAAATGCTATATTCGTACTGTTTGTTTACTTGTTACAAAAAAACAGGCTTTTCTTTTTAAAACAATAAAATTAATGCATTTAAAATGGTATATGTTGATGTTTTTATCCCTAGAAGTTTTTAACAAATAATATAATTAAAAAAAAATCACATAAAAGAAAAATATTTAAAAGTAAACTACAGAAGTAATTAAAATTTTAAATTGCATTTTTNTTTTTTTTTTTTTTTTTTTTTTTTTTTTTTGGAAATAGTGACTCACATACACCATTACATTATTTTACTCAATTTCAGTTTCTCTTTACTTTAGAAATTGAACTAGTTTCTAAATTTAGGTTCTAAATGCTATCTAATTATATATAAAATATCCAATCAATTACCACAACACTTTTAAAAAGAGACAGAATAATTACAACTCATAGGAAATATATAAACACACAAAAAAATTTATTATTATTTTCATTTTATTTCATGCATTTTTACTGATTGTTTCATTAAAAAAATGGATAAAAGGAGAAGTCTTTAAAGCAAGCTTCGAGGAAATAGCTTTAATTGATTATTAGTTATTTAAGGATGAAACATTTGTACAACTTTACTCCAAACATACTTTGCTTTCATGTAATACAAGTAAGTCGTAAAAATTAATTTTAATGCACTCAGTAGCAAAATACAAGTGTAACATGGATTTCTAAAAGTAGATTCTACAAGTTATAAAAGAAATACATACTTTATCAGATGCTCCAAAAAGTAAAATGTGAAGACGTTGCAGAGCGCTGAAATTTCCATTTTGAATACTTTCCCTGACTATAATGAAATAAAAATGTTTAATACGAAATTTTATGAAATTTTCAAAAATGCTGAATCAAAATAAAAATTTTCAACACTAATATAGAGTGCTTAAAATATATGTGCTTAAACACATTTTTTTTTTGTCTAACAATGTCAGTAAATAGTCATGAATTATTTCCTTAATATTACCAAACCATATAAAACTTCAATGCTACAAATTATTTAAATTAAGAAAATACTGTGTTAGAAAAATACAAAACAAATTTCTTCCAAATGTCGTTTCACAAATACTAACTTTCTTAAAACATGAATTCAAAAACAAAATATTCCCACTTATGACAACCTGCTGTCAGAGTACTTTTTTTGTGACAAAAAAAAAATAGCAGTCAAATATATCAAACATAAAATAAGAATTTAATTATCCTGATTCTCGATTTGATGAAATACAATTTACCTCATTTTAATCTGTGAGATTTGATCTGAAGATTTTTCTCAATAGTGTCAAATAAAAGCAAGCATTTCAAATATATATATAGAATTTTAAATTTGCAAGTCAAATATCACAATGTACACAGTTTTAAAATTTTTCAGAGAAATTCTAGTTAATGAGAGGAAGCTGCAAACCTTGCATCAATACCTCATGGCCAGGGCCTAATTTATTATAAGTTCTGAGAAACTCAGGCCTTGGGCTCCCCTATATGCCACTAATATTTTTTGTGTGTGTGTTTTCCTTCAAAATCCTTTATTAGAATTATAAGTAAACAAAAATTGTAAGAAATATAAGCTCAAATTTACTAATATATCGTAATTTACATATGCTACAAAAAATTTAAACATTCTTCAAATAAATAAGATGTAAACTTGGTTTAATGTTATGACCAGTAGGGACCACAACTGTATTCTGCCTACAATCCCCGGATTTCTAAATGAGGTCTTGTTCAGGGCATTGGGTCTGTACTTTCTTACTTTACAGGAGAGAACAAACCTCTAGGATAGGAAAGGTCAGGAGACAAACAGAATAAACAAATTTGAGATAGTCACAGTCCCTGTGGCAGAATTTTTTCGAGCTATCTGCGACAAAACTCTCTATCACTATTATCTTTCTGCAAAATACTTTCAATAATAAAAAACATATATGTTACAAATTTAAAGTAATAGAAGCGCTGTAAAACTACATAATTTTTTTTAATAAAACTAGTAATAATCTTTTATTCTAATATTATGTGTGATATTCCTGCATTTTGTGGGGGGGGGGACACAAACTATTTCTTTCTCCGAATTTTGTAAATAATTACCACAGTAAAATATAAAATTAAAAATCATGAAATCCGTAGTAGTAATTGCTGAAAAAAAGATAGACAGCAAAATTACGCGAATCGGTACATTGTTGTAATAAATAATATCGCATAAAAATATCGGATTTAAAACCTATGGAGAAATCAATAGCAATAACTGCCATAAAATCTATAGAATTATTGCCTTAAAAGTAAATACTCAAATGAACGATTTGAATTTTCCATATTGTTTGAAATATATTGGGATATTTAAAATCCGCATGAAAATCAATATTAATAACTGCCGAAAATACAATTGAAACATGACATCGATTTACGATACTATCGTCGTAAATTAAGAGCGTGAAAAAGTGATTATCTAAATGCATGATTCAAATATTATGTGTAAATTTCTATAAAAAAGAAAAATGACAAATTTTTTTTCTTTTAAAAAACTTTTCAAAATAAAAATAATCTTTCTGCAAAAGCTCTGTAACGTTCTGTGACAATGTCGCCGTGTCGCAGCTATTCTGCCACGGGGGTCACAGTTTTTAAAAAAAATATTATTAACAACATATGAAAGAATTGAACAAATTCAGCTTGATGTTTTGTTGATAAATGAATTAAAACATATCTGAAAATTTTTTAAAAACTTTGAATCTTATGCAACTTTTGACCTATCTTTGTCTACTAACAACGTTTAACACAGTTAATATCAATTAGTTAGCCAGAAATTTCATGCTGAAAGATTTGTATATNACCTTCAATTAATTCAACTTCAATTTCAGAAGAGCCACCCGGTGCTGCTAAGAATTTCATTAATTTATTTATGACAGTTTGTTGATCGTCACCAGCATGATCGATACAAAGTAAAGTTGAATACTCTTTTAGAGTGCTTAGTGAGAGCCTGTAAATAACAATCGTTTATAATTAATTGTTTTTCAATTGATTAAAATGAGCTTTAATGAAAACAAACAGGTATAATATTATAAACCAGCCAAAAATACATCATAGGGTCTCTTAATTTGAAAACCAATTCAATCTTTAATGAGGTATTAATTCATTCATCATTTAAAAAAATAATAAAATTATTTAAAGCAGAACTGCTAAAAAATAAAATAAAAACTTAAAAATATATTCTGTACAGTATGGAAAAATAATCTTGCACACAGTGAGTGCTTGTTTTCATACTAATTTTTTAGCCTTACTAATTTTTTAGCTTTATTCTATTTTTTTTATCAATTTAATATAATTGTATATACTTTTGCCATTTATTTTCTTCATCTGCCTAAACTGGTTAAAAAAATGGGCAGTTCATAAAAACAAAAATACAAATCAATGATTACAACAACTAATACAATAAAACTTACAATGATAATAAAAATTCCTTTTGTTTCCAATCATCAGAACCTTCAAGAAAAGGAAAACCTCCAAATGCTAAAATATTTGCTTTCAGATTTTCTGGCTAAAATAAGTATTTTTATTTTATTAAAAAACAGGAAAAAAAGACGAAAAATAATTATTATATAAGTTAATGTAACCAACAATGTACACTAAGTATTATTCATTCAAAGAAATATCAGAGTTTAACATCTGCAATTAATATAGCTAACAGCTTTCATAACAAAAATTAGATTCCTTGTTTTTATGAATTCTAATATCAATATCAAAATTTCCAATAAATAAATAAACCAACAAGTAAATAAAAATAGAGCATGAGAATATTAAACTAAAACAGCAAGATAGTCAAACCTTCTGATTTTTTTTTCCGACCATTTCTTTAAGGAACTATCATTCCTTAAGATCCACACACAAATAAATCTGATATTATACAAGACTAGAAAAAAATTATTTGTTTTCCTATTTTCCTTTGAACTTTTTTAATTAGAAATTTACTTCAAAAATTTGTTTTTATTTAAATGCTATATTCGTACTGTTTGTTTACTTGTTACAAAAAAATGCCTTTTCTTTTTAAAGCAATAAAATTAATGCATTTAAAATGGTATATGTTGTTGTTTTTATCTCTAGAAGTTTTTAACAAATAATATAATTAAAAAAAAATCACATAAAAGAGAAATATTTAAAAGCAAACTACAGAAGTAATTAAAATTTTCAATTGTATTTTTTTTTTTTTTTTTTTTTTTTTTTTTTTTTTTTTTTTTTTTTTTTTTTTTTTTTTTTTTTTTTTTTTTTT